ACTCTAGTGTGTCATGGATTTTGAACTACAATGTAAATATCTCAGCTCTCTGGTCTAGACTTTTTTATGCCTAATGTTCAGTTGAGGCTAAGCCGTGTAAAATGTAAAAGTTCTGGTTTTGAGGTGATTCTTCTGACTAACAATTGACATATTGCATATTAGTGTGTCCTAGATGTATTTTATAAGCTCATGCTTAGAATTTAGTCACTAATTCTAAATTAGAAACATTGATTTCATACTTCATGTCATGAGAGATTTTTTCATATTCATAAATTTATTCGGGTGGGCAGCCAGAATTGATAATGATAAGGAAGCAATTATTTATTATTGCTGTGAGAATGCCGGATGACACTCCTTAGCATTTAGCTATCAAAGTTTTCTCATCATACCTTGCTAAAATGAAATTTAGAATCTGCTATTACATGTTACATGCACTTTGTACAGTAGTCTGCACTTTGTACAGTATTTAATGTAGATTCTTTTTACAACCATATATTATATGAGTTCTGACTATAGTCTGTTACTGATATATTTTTCTATACCTATTAACAAAGTGACAATAATCATCTAAATCTTGATTTCCTCTGGGGGATAGTTATTTAGAACATTTAGCAGTGGTAATATTCTTCATGTATCCTTTGTTGGGGTGGCATGCTGTACACTAAAGATTCTCATGCTCCTTCTGTTTTTACATTTGACTACAAGTAATACTATTTTGTGATCTATATTTTGTTTTAAGGCTGGTTTGGTTCGAGAAAAATACTTTGGATGTTGTATATTTTTGAGTAGGAATTAGCAATACTCTTTCTCTGCTGTATTTTTTTGTTCAACATTATTTTGAATGCTTTCTCAAATAACATTTGTATGTTATTTTGATTGCAGAGGCTGTATCTAGAAAAATTCTTCAATTGATGAACGCCGAGAAACATCTTACTAGGGCGCATGTGGCCAGCCATCTGCAGGTATTTTTTTCTTTTCCTTTCTGCTTTAACTCCATAAAACCAAAGCTTTTCATTCATAGAACTTTAATTTTTTATTTATTTTTTTGCAATTGCTGCAGAAATATAGACGACGAAAAGAATCAGCTCTAAGGCAACCCAGCAAGTCAGTTTTTTTAGATCCTCTTCACCTAGTGGGATGATTAGTAGATTGGACAAGGGATTACCAATGTCTGGGGGCCTTGACCAATTGCTGCAGATTGAGGGTGTTGAACCTGTTAGGCAGACTGTAATGCCTCCTATAGATGACATGAGTTTTACACCCTTGCAAGCTGGGAATCTGAGGAGTGTGACAAATAGTGCTGTGAATTCTGAAGTTCAAAGTCCAATGCTTGACCAACTGCTGCAGGTTGAGGGTGTTGAACCTCTTGGGCAGGCTGTAATGCCTCCTATAGATGACATGAGTTCTACACCTAAGGAGTTACAAATAGTCCTAGGAAAACAAGTAATATTGTGCCATTTCAGGGGTTGGCTGACCAATGCCAGGATGGCAGTTATGCTTCCCATCTTACCAATTTAAGCTCAATAGACTCAATCTTAAATGAAGACCTGGACTTGGACTTTGATTCTGACTTTGATCTTTATGATCCTACACAAATGATTGACTTGGATTATTTGTTGTCTATGTAGTTGATAACACCGTTAGTGTATTTTTTGAGATTATAGCAGGTGAAGTGTTTGCCAACACCAACCTTAAGAGTGACTGTTTAGTTGTATTGTGTAGTTGTGAATGGGATTCAAATTTAATTCTGGTATGCTAAACTTTTTTAAATTCTGAATTGGGCCGTTACTGAATTTTGATAGCCATTTTGTGTAACAAATAGACTGTATTTTTTGAGTAAACTGGTGAACGGTGTCGACTATAGATTAAAAGTTCATTGAACCTGTTAGGCAGGGTGAACAGAATGAAAACATATCCGTTCTTGCAAGTTGTACAAAATAATATATTTTAAAGATAATTGACATTATCATATAATAACTCAAGGATAGTGAATATAGTGAAGTTCTGCTAAAGCTGGAATTTTCATTGATTAACACAGTTAGATTTTGAAACGAACCATCTTAGATTCAGTAATGACAGTTAAGTACTTCGACTGTAGGAAGAGTTTAAAGTTGAGGGGGGGAAAAATCTGTTGTGGATTTCAATTAAATATGCCTCTTAGCTAGGTTCTCACTTACTAGAAAATCAGCATAAAAGAAAGGGATTTTGACCTGTGGAACATATTTGATAACTGCCATAATTGTTGGAAAATTTGTTCCCTCAAACTCCAATGTCAAGCGGGTCCAGGGGAAGCCCGTGGCGGAGGCCACCACCAATGAACTAAGGCTACACCAACCGTAGCAAGTGGATCCGACACCATGTCTCAACCCAAAACCTTAAGGCATTGGGTTCATGGGTCCTTTCACTTATATACTCTTCACTTAGCTCATTACCAACCAATGTGAGACTCATCACACTTGAATATCTCAACAATCTCCCTCTCAAGTGTGAAACCCACCATTGGTATGCTCCCCCTCAACCGAGTACCCGAAGCGCAAAGTACTCGACCCGCCTCCTAGCCAATCACTAGGCTAGCTCGAGCCCAATCCGGCTCTGATACCACTGTTGGGAAATTCATTCCCTCAAACTCCAATGTCAAGCGGGTTCAGGGGAAGCCCGTGGCGGGGGCCACCACCAATGAGCTAAGGCTACACCAACCGTAGCAAGTGGATCTGACACCATGTCTCAACCCAAAACCTTAAGGCATTGGGTTCATGGGTTCTTTCACTTATATACTCTTCACTTAGCTCATTACCAACCAATGTGGGACTCATCACACTTGAATATCTCAACAATAATTACCTGCATTATGCTACATGAAATATTAATTTCTTAAGTTAGAAATGGAATATAACAAAATATTGATTTTTAATGGCATATGATGACAAATGATTAGCCTTGAGTCAGGGCATGGAAACTGAGATTTCAAATATGTAATCCCTTAGTTTCACAATTTTAGAGGAGAAAGAAAGGAATTAGTCAAAAAGGCAAACATCAAGGCCTAAGAAAGAGATAAATATTATTTACTTCATCATATTTAATTTTAATTGTATCAAGAGATAGATTATACTTACAACATCTTTTTCTTTATAACCATTTCAGTTATCGTTGGAAGTATAACATATTCCTTGTATCAATTGACTAATAAAATATTTTATTTATCTCAATAAAATATGTTGGAAGAAGGAACATCTCCCTTAAAGATGGAGATTAGCCAAAGCCAAGACTTGGAAGGGAATGCTATGAAGGAACAAACAGCAACAATAGTCCAAACAAAAGTGATAATTCCTAAGGTGATAACTAACATTTTCAATGTATTGAGTATTTGAATCAGCTTAGACTTTAACTAATTAAACTCTAATTGAAAACATGCTACTCATGTCATATTTAATACAAAAATCTTATCAAATAACCATAAAGATATTATTATAATAAAAGGTACTACTATAAATCCGTGACACCTTTTTGGAACATACCATTACAAATTAATTTGAGTGTAATACTTCTCTTATTTTTTTTTTTTTTTTGGTAAACTAATATTTCTCTTATTTAATATAAGAAAAACAAGAAATGTGGAGTCCGTTAAAAAAAAGAAAAAGAAAATGCTAGCACATGTTTCGATATCCGAGTGGTATGAGATTGCTTTCTCATTCAGCTGGAGAAAATAGTTCTCCTTAATTTAAACATCAAATTATTTTTCACTTACCATTTTATATACAAATTTTTTAGCCTTTATAATCTCCCTGAAGATGTGTAATATTTAAATAAATAAAACAAACAAACGAATTGGATATTGTTTTCTTTAAGAATTGGAAAGGAATGTAATTATGTAACTACATAAATATAAGTAAGGGATAAGATGTTCGATCTATTTTTTTTTCTTTCCTATCTTATCTACTCATTTTTTAATATTATTGGATCATAATATCACTATTTATTTATCCTCTTGAGATTCTAATTCAATAGTGATGAAGATGAGTAGGTAAGGTAATCAAGAAAAAAAAATAGGCAGAATAACTTGTCCCTATAACCAATTGATTGCTAAATTTTATAATAAAAATTTAGAATTTATTATGCCTGATTAATAATGAGGACAGATACACTTACCACCAAAAGAGTATTTATCATTCTTACAATCAAACTTAATCACCGTTGATTTTCGTCAATCTAACGGTTATAATTTATTAAAAATTAATAATTAATTAATAAGTATGACCCAATAAATGTTATTAATTCCCGAAAATGATAATCATTAGATTGGTGAAAATTAATAGTGATTAAATTGGTTGTAAGAGTGGTAAAAAAAAATTTGGTAAGTAGATTTGTTCCCATTAATAATTGCAAAAATATGTATTAACCAGTCAAGATAAAAAAAATGTATTGATAATCGTATTTTATTTTATAAGAATAGTAATATGTTATCCTAACAAAATGGTTTAACATATTTTTAATTACTTAAATCTAAGTAAGCCAAAAAAACTAAAAATTCAATATAATAGAAATTAAATTTTTAAAATATTAGTGTTTTTTATTAATAAAATTATCAATTTAGTTTATTAAGTTGATATAAATTATTCATCTTAATTATCGTAACAAAACACATAATTTTAAAGGAAAAAAAATCTAAATTCAAAAATATACTATACAGCATGAAAATAATCTTCTTATATTATGTTTTTACCATCAACTTTAAGATTAAGAGTATAATTTATATTACTGTAAAATGATCTGACTATGGCTTTAATATTTTTACAGTGAATATAGAGAAGAGGTAGGATCCTTTGATACCAGTGTCAAAATTGAAGTTTGACACCTCATCTGAGAACCGTTAGAATCAAAAAATATTAATGGTGTCACGTGCTTACAAATCAGATTATATATATATATATATAATTGAATGACAGAATGGAAGGAAGCAACTGGAGTGGTTGATATGATGCTGAGGTGACACATTTCTTATAATAAAATTCTGTATGTTTCAACATTGAACGCTCCCTTCTCTTCCCTTTAAAATCTCATTCTCTCTCTCTAGGATGGCGGCTCCGCCGGTTGTGAGGTTTCCGATCTTCATGGCAGTGAGAGTAATTGGTATCGCCGTCACTGTTCTTCTTCTCACATGGGCTCTCCATTTCAGGGGTGGCCTCGCTCTCATATCTGATAACAAAGATCTCATCTTCAATGTAACTTTCCTTACCGAATTCTTGTGTGTCATCACTCTTTTTGATTGATGACTATTTTTCTCGATTCAAATTTCCGAACTTTTTCTTTTTCGGATGATGGGTATGTGTTCATTTCTCAATCTTTTTTTTTTTTTTAAAGAGAAACAAAAAAAATGCCAAAATGGGGAGGTTGAGGAAAAAGGGTATTGTTAATTTTGACTGTGATGGAAGCTTTTGACTGTGTGATTGTGAATTTATTGTTTGTTTTTTTATATTTATATTTTAGCTCCAAGTTTTTGTACATTTTTCTGGAATGTTTTATTGTTTTCAGCATCATGTGAATAAATGCATTTGAACTGCTTGTGTGGTTTTATACCCCTTATTTCATGTAGGTCCATCCAGTGTTGATGGTGATGGGGCTTGTTCTAATCAATGGTGAAGGTAATGTTCTTTAATTTTTTTAATTCTCAGAGAAATTGGATATATAATTCATTATGTGCATATCAGCATCTCTATGAAACTTTTTATGGTTATATTGCACTCGAGTTTTTCTTAGATCTCAGTTACTATCTGTTAGTAAAGCAAAATATCTATGGTCAACAAATTGGATTTGTTAAGAGATGATAAAGAATAGAAATAAATTTTTTGAGGAGTTGGACTGACTGGAGTAATCTAATTGGGTGTGTCCCTGCCTTTTATGTAATGCAATTAATAGGGCAAAACCCCAATGAACAAAGCTATACCTCGTATGATTGCGAAGAGGTTGTTTCCAAGACTTGAATCCATGACTTTTTGGTAAACAATATTACTACTATTCCAAGGACCTCGTGTAAAGCAACCAATAATACGATAAATCTCATATGGTCTTTGTTTTATGGTGTTCATAGTTGTCGATTCACAATGTTTTCTCTGGCCAATTCCCATTTATTTGCCCTTCAGTTTGAAGTTGAAGCATTTTTTATTTCTTTAGGCTTGTTAAATTAACTAGTTTCAAGTTTGTATGAAAATGTCTTAGGTCCTCTAAAAGGAACAATCTATTAAGTTCAGATAAGATTTTACACTTGTTTTATCTCCTTTTATGAATTTTGTCCTTCATGAAGTACTACTCAGGCGCCTACATTTCAAGCAAAAATCTGAAAAGTAGATCAATATGAATTGGTCTCCGTTGTTGTCTCAGGGATATGGCATTTGCAATTTAGATTACACAGCATGTGTTACGGCTCTGGATTCTTTAAGAATGGAAATTGGGTATTAAAGAAAGGAAGAATAGAGAAAGAAATGGAAATAGAAGAAAAAGATCTGTTTATTGATGAAAAGAGAAACAAACAAGACACAAGAGACACTTCTCTTCACAAGGGGCACTCCCCTTCACACTGAGAGACTTCTCAGTATATTCTACAATTCAATTCAAATCATCCCATGACAGAACTAATGTTGCCCTTATATAGAATCTAAGCTCTTCTCCAAAAGCCCAACCATCTAACTACCTAACTAACTTTTTAATTACTACTTATATTTCCTAAGGAATATTCTTTATCTCGTATCAGCATGTCTTGTAGGTTATCCTCTATCATATGCTTGTAAAGCTGAGTGGAGTTTTTTACATGGCAGCATGAAGGGTCCTGCTTTGTGTCTATAAACATTCCTCTTCATAATGACATCTGAAAATGGAAAAATGGACAAAAACATTTTCCTATCATTTGTCTTGAGTTCTTTTGTTATCTAAAGCCCTAGGACTGGTATAGCCTCCCCTAACCCAAGTCAAATTAGAATGAACACAGTTGGTCCTTGTTCTGATAATATATATCTCAGAACAACTTTTTATCTAAATATATCTCAAGTCAAATAAACTTATTATCTCAGATTCCATACAATGTTTCTTCTTACTATCCTTTTTTGATTGTTTGTGAGTAGTGTCATGTTAGCACTAACTTCTTTTATCTGTTTGTCATGGCATTGTGCAGGGATGCTTGCTTATAAGACAATATCTGGAACTAAAAACTTCAAAAAAACAGTTCATCTCTCATTACAGTTTCTGTCTCTCATTTTAAGCTTAATTGGTCTCTGGGCTGCTTGGAAGTTTCACATTGACAAGGGCATTGACAATTTCTACAGCCTGCATTCATGGTTGGGCCTTACTTGCCTTTTCCTATTCTCCATCCAGGTATCTTTCTTATTGTAATTACATTTCATAACTTGTTCGATTCTATTTGGGAACTTGGATATTCATGCATCTAACACTTTGCTATAATGTTTATCAGTGGGGTGCTGGTTTTGCAACATATTGGTATCCAGGAGGCTCAAGAAACAGTAGAGCTTCCCTATTGCCATGGCATGTGTTCTTTGGAATCTTTATCTATGCATTGGCTATAGCCACAACTACTACTGGTATTTTAGAAAAGGCTACATTCCTTCAGACCAACAATATCATATCACGTTATTCCAGTGAAGCACTGCTGGTCAATTCCTTGGGCATTTTGATTGTCATTTTAAGTGGCTTTGTTGTTCTTGGAATCGTTACGCCAGCTTATGTTAAAGCTGATTCCGTAAGAGGAAACGAGTAACTTTATATGTTCTATATAATTCAAATTCTAGGAGCATGAACATTTGTGTCCTATCTGACACAGGTTACATGGATGTAACAAACTCATTGAACGTATGTACAGACAGATTTAGTTTTCAGTTCGATTTACTATGTTCATTTCCCTTATACCAATTAATATTTGTATGTGTCGTGCATGTTGTTTGAGGGATGAGACGAGTCTATAATATTATGGCCCGTTTGAATGGGTTTTTGAATAAAGGACTTTTTATGCTTTGTTTATTTTGAAAGGTTTTTTTTTTTAAAGCTAAAATTATATGGTATTTGGATGTAGTACATGAAAAATACTTTTAATTTAATATATTATTTGAATGTTAAATTAAAAAGCATTTTTTATGAATAATATTACAAAAAAGGATGTGAGAGGGAGCAAATTTAGTTGTGGTGGAAGTGGTGGTGGCAAGGTGTTACTGATGGTGGTGGTGGCAACAATAGCAGTATGGTAGTAGTGATGGTGAGATATGAGATGGTGGTAGTGGCAGTGGCGACATAGAGGTGAAATTGTTGAGGTGGTGGTAGCGATAACAGCAGCGATAGGCGGTGGCAGCCAGTGATGATGGGGGAGGTGAGATTGAGGTAAATTTAGATTTTGAAAAAAATATTTGACTTTTGATTTTTACTTTTTTTAGAAGCCAAATTTTTTAGCTTTATTTAGTTTCTGTAAAAAGAGCATTTTGGGCAGAGAGAGGTGCAAGATGCGTAAGCTAAGAAAAGGAAGGAAATGTCCCTGGGAAAAGGGATCCCTTCAAGAAGATTAGCATCATGGTTCATGGCCCAGTTAGCCACCCAATCTACACAGAAGTTACCTTCTTTGAGGGTGTGGCTAAACTTTAACAGGCTGTGTTTTTCCAATGAAGATTTAGGATCCTAATATATCGGGGGTGAGACTAAGGGAGGGATGGTTAGTCAGGGAAATTTTAACCTGTTAATTATTATGTATAAATTAATTATTTATTTAATAATGATGTAACTTGTGTATACAAACCTGTCACATTATACAACAATGATTGTTTTGACTTCGTACAATGATAATTATTTTGAGAGGCAATAAGAGAGTATGATGAGAACTTAATGTAAATTATTAAGAAGCAATTATTTACCTGTGGATCAGACATATAAGGTAGCGGTGCAATAACAGTAGGTAGGTCTTGCTACCGAATAGCTCAATGACATTTGTTCAGAAGCATATAATAATTTCTATGGAATGATATTAATTTAATATTTTATTTTATTTAATATTTTTCTGTTTTGAATCCCAGTACTTCAAAACGACTCATTAACAAATTCATAATATATTATCATTTGGGCACAAGTCTAGTTGATCGTCAAACATACAAGGATTCATTCATCTGTAAGGGGCACAAGGTAACATCCAGCGAGGTTGCTCAATTAATCCAGAGTGCTCAATTATACCTCGCAAGTTTGTATCCAACGCAAGCAAAAGGAAGAATAGAATGGCAAAAAAGCATCCTAAATATACCATAGCATTGTTTGATCGGAACCATTTTTAGGTAATTGCGGGGCCAGTAATTTCAGGCGACCCTTTTCCATGTTTCCCAATTACAGTAATCAAATGAAACAATTTTTTTAGTGATAACTTCGCCAGTAATTCGTGGTGATGGTGTTCATAATTACACCACAATAACCAGAGATGGGACTAAGCATAACTAAAATTTGCTACACCAAGATTGTGACTGAATAATTATCCAAAATTTGAAGAATAGAAGAAAAAACAACTCTCAAAACTGAGAACGCATAGCTAAATCTGCCAGGAGATGCGAAATTTTGCACTCTCGCTAGGACAGGTGAATACAGAAATGTCCAATTTTTAGAACAAAAAGGCCCATTACATTATTCAGAGGTGCGAAAATAATACAGAAACATGTATTACAACAATCTTAGAATTTATTGTTACCAAATTGCTAAATAGGGATTTTGCACACACACAAAATTGAGATGGTTCCATTTGCACAATTTATATCCAGACCTGTTCTCTCCCATATTCTCTTACAATTACAGGCACACTTGTTGGGGGGACCTGCCAAAGTAAATATGTCAACCAAAAAATATTTTCTTTGTAAACCACCATGATCTGAATGTGAAAAATATGAAATGACAATGCCCTTCGAGAATGTCAAAAAAATGCATGTATTAATTGACTGGGACAAGGGGCTTTATTGTTAGTTGTTAAAAGTATTCAACTAGTTGGCTTCTTGTCCTATATTCTTCTAAAGTCCCTCTCGCTTCTTTTCAATCCTTTTTTTTTGCTTATATATTTAAGGAAAGAGGGAAATTATAACCAAAAAATAAAAATAAAAATAAAAATTGTAAACTGGTATCTTGATCCGCACTCAGAATCATTCTCCTAAAAATAATGAGACAGAATTCATGCACTCAGTACATCTATCTATCCAAAACCAGTTAAACACAAAGCAAACTATGAGGTGCCAGGATCAAATGCACTTTAACCATGTTTTAGCGACAAAAGTATAAATCCTCTTTAAAATTCAAGCACTTACCATGCCATAATCTGTGACAATCATCGAAACATAATCTGAAGGTGTTGCATCATAGCTGCCATCAATTTAGAGAGAATAGCAAAGTTAGAGTGAAGGAATCACAATTCAGTGTGGCATTCTATGAATATAAATGCTTACATCAGATTTAAAAGTTGCAGATTTTCAATATTGGCCCAACCATCCAAGTAGTTGATGTCCTCTCTACCCAGAACATTTGAAATGACATCTGGATCACCTGTAAGAATATCTTAGAAACATCAGCCTTCTTAGTTCTTACAGACACAAGGCAAAAGCCCAACAGTAAATTGTAAATAAAATCCTCATCATCTACAAGTGTTAAGTCTGCATACCAAGTTCATTCGAGCATATTGAATCCAGCTGTACCCTTTCATGAAATTTATAGGCTTCACAACATACAATGACAGGTACACGGAATGCATGAGCAACCATGGCAACACATGCAGTCCCAACTATTGAATATACTGTTCCATTAGACAACACTGATGAAGCTCCTAGAAAAACTCGAGTAACTTCATGCATTATGTAGGAAACAGCATTTATATGAGTGTATGTGCAGCTAAGACCTTTCTCCACAAGCCTGCGAAGTAAAAGTTTCCCTCTAAGCTTTGGTCGAGAGTCAACTACCACAACACGAAACTGTTTTCCTAACTCATGTGCATGTAACAGTATCATTTCTACTGCTGATGAAGACCCATAAGTTAGAAGAACATCACCATCTCTTATTTTGGTGACAGCATGCTTGACTATCACCTTGTTGGCAAGTATAATCTTCTCACCTATAAAACGCTCAATATCTGACTGGAGGGAAGTTTTAGCTTCTGACTCAGACAGGGCCAAAGGTAGCTTGGCTATCCGACTTTTAAGAAATCTAATTGCATTTCCCATGCTGATTGACAGAGGTCGACACTCAATAAAAAATGATACATAACTACTAATTTTTGCTGTTAAGTCTCTCACAAGAGTCTTCTCAAGTGGAACCCTGTAGTCTTTTATGGCTTCTTGAAATGCTTGAAGCATTGCAATACAACGAGCATTGCCACCGGATATATCTCCATATAGATACTGCAAACCTACCTGACAACCACAATGAAAATCATTAAGATTTGAGAAAACAAATTTAAAAAGGCCTAATTCACAACACATAATGAACTAGGTCCTAATCACTGTTCTATACACTAGACCACCATGAACAAGTTTTAATCACGATTTGGCTTGTGAAGGGGTATCTTCATGCAAATATAGGTGGCTATAAATGCAATTTACTTTCATTTGGATGTCACTCAGCATGACTACTTAAGTTGCATATAGTATATTAAGCAAGATGATGTGGTGAAATATAACAGCCAATTGAATTGATAATTGCATCTAGCAATTTGCGAAGATTTTATACGAAACAAATTTAGAAAAACATCTATTCAAACTATACTAGTGCACGAAATCAAGTAGTACTAGCTAGGTCTTTCTTTCAGTTCCCCCTCCTTTTGCTGATAGCCTGATACTGAATCTACTGACACCTAAGAATGAAGGTAGCACTGCATACCATTTGCAATATAACCCACGAGATCGAGATTGTGCCTCTATCACTGTGTAAAGGATTTAATTTTGATCAATAATGAGCCATATAATGTCACTTATAGAAAAGACCGTTCACAGTTATTACTGCAAGTGAAAATACCTCGAAGCATACTGTTTTGAGAAGGGTTCATGGTGGTGCTGTGCATTATAATGCACAGGGAAACACACATTACGGTAAATATACTACTATAACCCAAGAATAACAGCAGTATACAAATCAAACAATATATATATGGAATTCTAACAAGGTTACACAATGAAATAACACAATAACATAGATACCTTGTAAACAGCAGGATGCACAGGATAAAGATGGAAAAACTTTGCCTCAAGATCTGGAAGTTGACTCCCATGTTCATATTGTGGTAAATGCCTGAACAACTCAACTCTGCTCCTAGCTTCAGTTTGTTTCACCACAGCACGTCGTTTAGCTTTATCCACTCGGCTCTTGTCATCATACTGCATGCGTGGTTGAGGTGCATCTTTTTTTCTATCCTTTTCTGGAGGACAATCACCTCCCTTCTTCTCAGAGGCTGCAACTGCTGCATTATCAACTTTCTGTGCAGGCTTTACAGCCTTAGCTGGTTTTGCATTCACTGAAGTTGCAGTTCCAGATGCCTTATTGCCTTCGGCTAGTGACACATTTTATTAAAAGCTAACTAATTAGAATCATCACAATGTGTTGTGCAGAAAAGAGACCCATGAGACAACATCATAAATTCCCAATTTTGGGCTTGTTAAGATCATTAGAGAACATTATTTGAGTCCATGAACACTGAACAGTAATTCTGAAGCAGAACTAGTTCTAAATAGGCATAACTGAATAAGATGAGCATATAATCACAGATAATATGCCACAATAAAAGCATATCCAGTCAGACAGCTTAAATGTAGAGTGACAGATGGACATAGTAACAATGCCAAACAAACAAGAGCATGCTATTACACACCTTTTGTAGCAGCCTTGGCAGCTCGTTGAGCTTCTTGAAGAGCTCGCCTTTCAGCTTTTGAGGTTTTTGGTTTCTGCTGTTTTGAACTAGTAGGTTGTTGGTCTTTCACTTCCATAGCTGACCCTCCTCCTCTGTTTGTTTTTTCTTTTTCTAATGGGGATTAAGGAGAAGAAGAAAGAAGAAGAAAAAGGTATAAAGTCAAGTCAAAAAGAAAATAAAAACAGACCATAAATGGAGACAACAAGTTTACCATTTTCTCTTGAGAAATACAACAAGCGAGTTAGGCTGATTCAACAATTATTAATCATAAGTTCAAACTAGCAAATGGGGTTAAAATCAACACACACTTAAAAAGAAAAAGGAACCCAAGTGGAAATCGAAACATCATGTGGCAAAAGATACATTCAAATTTAAAACATAAAAAAGAAAACTTATACTCCATTTCTAGTAAACATTAGTTTTGGTATATTCAAAGTATTTGAACAAGATCCTTCATTTAAAGCCTATAATATAATGTATTAGTCAAATTCACAAACTCAATAGACAGTCTGATAAGAACCATTTCACCTAAAAGCATAAACTGTTAACTGAAGGCCCTTTTAATGGTTTCTATATTTGTCTAATACGCCCCTTCACACAATAATCCATTAAGCTTGAAGGATAAACAATGCATCACGCCTATACCTGTGCTAACAATCTCCACAATATTTAATTATTTATTAATAAAATGGGAGACGGTGAGGATCAAACTCGTGATCTCGTGATCCCGATGGCCTTGATACTATGATAACCAATTATATCGCCTAAAAGCTTAAGCTTTTAAGTGAAGACATTTTTAATGATTTTTATATTTCTCTAACCCTTTCCTCTCTGAAACATTATTTTATAGGTCAAATCAAGTGTTGATGATTCATCTCACTTTCACTCTCTAGTTCATACTTCGTAATAACCCATGCTTTAAGAACATAGCTTCTCATGTGCTGACACAAAAGCTCATTCGAATCTCTTAAACTGCAGTTTCTACTACTTTCACGCAACAGTTGATGAACTTCATATTCAAAGCATATTATCCACCACCTCTCATCCAAAACCAGTTCAAATTCAAATCAAGCATTAGATTGTTACACGAAGTCGAAATCAACAAAGATAAAAGCAAAGAAGCTGAAGAAGTTCACCGGGAATCTCAAGCGAAGCATTCACCACGGAAACAGTGGTCAATTCGCTCGCCGGAACAACGCTCGCCTTCATCGCCGTCAAGTCAAATCCTCCTCGAGGAAAAGACGACGCAGCCACCTTTCCGCCAGCATTATTCCCCTTGCCGTCGAAGAAGCTTCCATCGCCGGCGGTAGCGATCCTGCTGGAGTACGAAGACGACGGCGCTGGGGAAACGGGAGCGCGGTAGAAATCGGAAGCGTCGTAGGTGCTGCCGCTTCCGCCGCCGCCGCCGCCGGAGGCAGTCATAGAATCCGCACGGAGAGGAGAGGCGGCGGGACGAGCGTGGAGGAGTAGGTTATCGGAGAGGTGGCGCGGCGGCGGGATCATCACCGGAGAGAGGGAGTTGCCGGAGGGGGAGATGTTGGAGACGCGAGGGGAAGAGTGAATCGGGTCGGGTGGACCCGATTGGGAGCGCTCGGGTGGGGCTCCGTGAGTGAAGAACCCGACTTGACGGAACTTGGGGATAGGGTCGATCACGGCACGTGGAGCTCGGCGAGGAGGATCCATGGAGTGCAGTGAAATGGAGGAGTAAGCTTAAGCTTAGGGGTTTTATGTGTGTGTTTGTATGGTAAGAAAATTTTAAAGGGTTTTTCTCGGGAAAATTGAGGGTTTGAGCTTTGGCTCGGAATTTCTACGGAGAGGGAGAGAATCTGAGAAAATGAAAGCAAAGCTTCACAACCAAAAATAATAATTTTATCTAATTAGTTTGATTTATGGAATGATTAATTCTTTAATTTTTTTTGTAAATAGTTAAATTTAATATAGTCATCATTGGAAACGCCATTATAACTATAAGTTAGAAAATCTTCAGCATTATGTTAAAAAGAAGAAGAAAATCTCCAGCATAAATATCAGTTTTTTTTTTTTTTAACATTGAGGTGAATTATTTTTTATCAAATAATGCCACATGAATGCATCGTGTCCTTATAAATTATGTTTACGAATGAAAAAAAAAGTAATTATGAATAAGATTTTTCAGATTTTTTTTTTCAAAACTTATTTGATTATTATAAAATAATACAAAAAGTGAGAATTTTATTTGATTATTATAAAGAAAATATTTCTTTTATCATTGGAAATAAAATTATCTTGTACAATTCAAAAACAACATCTGTTTCAAAAAAAATTATGTTACTAAAGAGATAATTTTTACCCAAATTCCTAAACAATGTTATTCTTAATCAGAGGAGATAAATTTATCTTCTGTGACAAGAAAAATATTAAAAAATATTATAAATTCATAAATATTTTTAATTAAAAATATACTTTTTCTCTTTTTGAAAAACATAAATAACATGCCATAAGGTTTGGAACAAAAGTTTTGGCTAAAATCAACTCACATTTTGTTTAAGTTACAAAATCAGATAACAAACACCTAATTCAGGTGAGACAAGTTGTTATGGACTAGAATAATGGGTCCATACTAAGTGAGTTGATTTTAGCCAAAACTTTTGGTGAGCACAGAGCAAACTATTCTTTCGCCTATTACTAACGAATAATGGGTCCATATCTCGGATTTTTTTATTATACACTCAGTGTATAATCTTTTGGGTGTACCTTTTCCAAAAAAAGAAAAAGAAAAAAGATTCTTCCATTTAAATCCCTCTCTACTTTTCAAATTCCTTCTTCGTCTTTCTTTCTTTCCATTTTAGGAAAAGGACTACGAAGTCCCGGATCACATAAAATGAGCTCCCATATCCCAACAAATAGATAGACACACCAACACTCATGGATAGAGCAGCTCAAGTCAAAATCCTAACAATCGATCGAGGCAGTAATATGGGTTGAACCTGATAGGTCAACCCACCAAAACGGGACGAGTTGGGTTACACATCTCAACCAGCCTCAACCCACCTCGCTTGGTTATAGGTCAAAATGGGTTGGCTCACGGGTCATTTATTTTTAACTATTAGGTAGTATTTCATTTGTCTCTAAGCTTTTATGATATAATTTTTTTTTATCTTAGTACTCTCCTAGAAAAAACAAAGAAAACAACTTTATTTATGACAAAGGTTATCCATATATGAAGACAAAAATAAGTTCCTAAAAAATGTCTAACTGATTATTAGCATATATTTAAGCTTGCGATTGAAAAAAAAAAACTAACGGGAGTGTGAAACGAAAATAAGTTAAATTATAAAATTAATAAAATATAATATATTTTTAATTTTTAAATATTATTTTAGGCTGATTAACCCGCCAATCCACCATAAAAATGGGGGTTAAACTTTTCAACCCACGTTTTTTGGTGAAAATCGGTTGCGGGTCAGGGTGGGCCGACCCGTTTTGCCACCTCTAAAAATAGGATAGAACCTCACAACAATTGAATAGAAGCCCAACCAGGTAACCCATTATAAATAAGGGTTATCACCATCAGGTATACACTTGCTCATCTTTACTTATGCCATAATTGTGCACACACTCCACGTCTTGGCTAACGTCACATCATTCAGTACACAATGATCCATACACCCTTGTAGAATCTCTTCTATAGATTTCTGTAAGCGTATAGATCTCACATTAAGCTATCACTCGTCGGGTGAACATTCACGGTCTACCCAGAGACCGGAATGAACATTGGCGTCGTCTGTGGGAATCGATAAATTTTGATTCCCTCCAAGTAATGATATATACGCATAGTGCCGCGAATAATTTTCCTCCACCACCGCCGCTGCCACCCATGGATGAACAGGGCGGTCAACAGCCAGTGCTGAAAGATGTACACGTTAGTGATGCTGAATCTAATTTGGCGTCACCCAGACACAGGGAGAACCTGGCTGAAAACCGGCCTCATCCACCCCAGTGTGAAGCACAACCCGCTGTGGACAACCGCATTCAAGAAACCACCCTCAATGCTGTCATGCGAAGGATAGAAGGGATGGAGAACTGGTTCCTGTCCTAACAACAACTGGACACTCAGAGAATGGAGGGCTTGGATAATAAGCTACTACGCCAGAATGTGAAAAACCAGCACAGCTAAGCCGAGAGCCGTAATCAGAACTGCCCTGAGGCTCAAAACCAGAAAAATGGAAATGGCCGAGGTGTAGGCAATGAACCAAATGGACGAGGTGGGCAAGATAGAGCACAAAACAATGACAGAGGTCAGGGCTACGGCCAAGGTGGTGATAAAGGGCCTAGATCAAATGACAACCCTTAACCACATGGTAATGAGGGATAGCAAAATGACAGCCCATTCACTGAAAGGGTCATAAATCGGTGTTTTCGCCGAGGTTCAAGAAATTCAATGTGTCGGTGTATGACAACAGCCAAGATCTAGAGGCTCACTTGAAGGCTTTCAAGACCAAAATGTTCGTCAACAAAATAACTGGACCCATTATGGCTTGTATCTTCGCATCCACCCTAACTGAACCCACCATGATTTGGCTTACTGGGTTGCAGAGGTATTCAACTGATTCATTTAAAGACCTCGCATGCACCTTTGTTTTGAACTTCGCCACCAATAAAGCCAACCTTAAGCCGGCATTTGCGTTGGATTGAATCTGGAGGAGAGACCCTATGCAAATATTTAGACTTCTTCAAAGAGGTCGCCCTTAAGGTGTGAAATTTGACTGAGGCCATTCATCTGCACTTGATTGTTTCCGGGATAGATAGAGAATCTCCTCCGGCCAAGTCTATATATAAGAACCCAGTCAATAAGTGGGAAGAATTCAGAAAAAGGTCGGACAAGTACCTAGATATAGAAAAGATGGCACTAGCCTACGCAACCACCAAAGGTGATGATAGAGGCTGAAGTCCTCGTCGACAAAGTCCATACAAGAGGAACAAAGATAAAGATCGACAGGGGCCCAAGAAAGCAGTCAGTCAGGAACATCGAAAGCCAAGTTTGATAGTTATGCATCGTTGAATGTCTCCAGATCCCAGGCTAAGACCGAGCTTCGTATCATTAAAACACTGAGGTCAATCAGGAACAAGGGCAAACTTGACCATTTTAAATATTATGTGTTCCATGATGGACATGGTCACACCACAGATGAATGTTGAGACCTTCGAGATGTTATTTAAAAACACATCAGAGAGGGAAAGTTGAAACAGAAGCCCAAGTTTAAAGAAGGATAATAAAAGGGACCATAATAGAGATGACAAAGGAAAGAAAGCCGAAGCCAAACATGATGAGTTCCAAGAGCCTAAGTTTGATTGTAACGTAATAATGGGGCACTTGGAGGCGATGGCGATACTGTCAATGCAAGAAGATACCTCAAAGAGGTCATGTCGGTTAAAGACAAACCAATGCTTAAAGAAAAATGGGACAAACCTGATTTCCCCAAATTATTTTTCACTCAAGACAACTTGGAGAAAGTGGTTCCAAGTCACACTGATGGTCTAGTAGTAACCAGGGTAATGGTTAACTGCCGAGTTAAAAGAATATTCATCGACCTAGGGAGTTCAGCCGACATCTTGTTTTGGAGTGCTTTCTAGAGAATGAATTTGTAAGTTGCCTTTGTAGGCCATGAACATAAAAGAAGGAAAAATTAAATTTTTTATGCGGAAGAAGCAACCTTTGCCCACCCTCAATCATGTTTAACCCATGAATCATGCAATAGACATGTTAAGGTTTAAAGTAGATACCTTTATTCGGATTATTATTCCTGATCAAATGCGTTCTTGATCAATTCTTCAGACTTGAAGAACACAAGTCCTCCAATGAAAATCCACACCACCTTGTTGTCTTGAAAGAGAAGAGCACTTCTTCGAATGCCCAATCTCCTTCAATGGAGGTTGCTAGACTCAAGAGAAGAATAGAGATTGGGTAGTGCCTTTGGTTATTCTAAGAGAAAGATAGTTGTCACACTGATGTGTGTGTTGGCTAAGGTTTCAGTGGAGAAAATTGCAGATGAATAAGAGATACCAAACTAAGGAAGAAGAGGGGCTATTTATAGATGTGGTGACTCATTAACCTAAGACTAGGTCAAATCAGCGCCCTCATCAAATCTCAATCTTATTGGGTAATTTCCTTAATTTTATCCAATCAATCTGGTTGATTGGTTTTCTCAATTTCGGCCAATTAATTTAATTAATTGGTTTCCTTAATTTTACCCAATCAATCTAATTGATTGCTTTCCCAAATTTCAGCCAATTAATCTAATTAATTGGTTTTCTTGATTTTGGTCAATCAATCCAATTGATTTGTTTCCCTAATTTCAACCAATTAATTTAATTAATTGGTTTCCTTTAATTTTGGTCAATCAATCCAATTGATTGGTTTCCTTTATTTTCTCCATCTTCAATAAATCTAACTTAATGACTATATTTAAATTCCAATTTCAGATTCGAAATTCAAAATTAGAATTTAAATTAATTTTATTTAAATTCAAATTTTAAATTCGAAATTCAAAATTAGAATTTAAATTAATTTTATTAATTTAACATTTAAATTAATCAGGTTACATCATGGATTAAGTCCAACTTGACCCATGATGCCATCTACTCTCTCTTGGCCCAATATGTGGGCTTTTCCAACTTAGGCCCATTATGCCTTATTGGGCCCAAAACACATATGCTAGAATTCAAGACAACTTTAAGTTTTTTGTGTGCGACCCATCAGGCCCAACATAGCCACTGATATAAATGGGCTTGGTCCCATTAGGCCCAATCCATCTAATGACAACACAGAGCACTAGCAATGCTTTG